ACTCCTCTTCTGTCTCCATTTCTCAGGTGTAATCTTAGCTGCCCGGTGGCTCTAATCACTCTTAAGGATATATGTCTTACACTTCTCTGTATTTCATGGTACCCAAGAGAGGAGTATACACATTGTATATGCTCAATATATTAAATTAATGATGAATTATTATTAAACAAAAAAAGATTGGTGTTCCCAGAAAACCAATGTTCCCACCTCTGCCTGCAGAAATTATCAAGAAATACACTGGCCTGCAAAAGAAATGCCTTCTAGACCTTTCCAAATTCCCCACTGCCCCCTATAAGATATGACTGACAGCTGAAAGTAAACTTGTCTTTGCAAGCACTGAATTGCTCATCAAGCTTGCAAAGGATGTCATTTAGTCAACGACCTTCCCTAAGGAAATATAAATGGAACATAGCTGCCTGAGAAAAATTAATTCATGCAACTCCAGTAAGTAGCTCACAGAAGACAGCTTTCACCATCCTAGAAGACTTGAACCATATTTCATTCCTGATTTTCCTCCCTTTTTGGGGTTTGGGGAGTGGAGATTTGAATTACAGCTGTTTAATGCAATTAGGTTTGTAAAGAGTTATAGCCCAATATTAAGTAGGCATAACATCACCCAAAGTTTTGATTATGAGAGAACCAGAATGTAGTACCATTCCTTGTGTCTAAAAGTGTGAATGTTACCTCTACATCCTAGCGAACTCCCCTAACACTCCACATAAAGGTACAGATGGCAGAAGAGGAGGAAAATGCCCAGCATGGAAATGTTAAGCAGGCACAGGGACCAGCAACAGCTGGTGGGGGGGACAGTGCCCTCAGGAGTCAAGCAGGTACGGTGAACAGTTAAGCAAATTTTATAAGAAAAACAATAGAGTAAGGGGGAATTATAAAAGGCAGCTACTTTTAAGGTAAATGTGCCTACCACCGCATCCAGGAAATCACTGCCATGCAAGAATGTGGGGCCAGATGGTTCAGAAGGTGGCAGAAACCCAGATTTTTTTACATAAAATTACCCCACTATTGGCAAGTTATTCAAATTAGACAGAAAACACACACACACACACACACACACACAGGGGGGTAAAAACCAACCCTGTGCAAATCAAATATAACATGAAAGACTCCTAATCTGTGATCTTTGGAAAACAAACTAAATTGGAAGGGTATAAAAAAATTATTAAAATATATTCCTAAAACTAAATCCCTACTTCATACCCACTTTTAGTAACTGGGTTTCTATGTTAATCCTGTGTCTGAGTACTTATATTAATGATCATTAACAGGGAGATTAAAAGCTCAAATGAAAAAAGAATTAGAAAAAAATATAAATATGCATCTGTATCTGTGAACAAGAAAAGAGCCACATACCAAACCTGACAATCTCGGGGAAGGCTTGCATGGCAGGCCTTACAAACTCACAGACTAAAAGTAACCATGTGGGATGGTCTGAACATAAAAACACCTAACTAAAAGCGAGTCATGGCAGAGAGTCACGTCCCAGGCCTGCAGCTTCCTAGACAAAGGTCAACCTTTACCTTAACTAAGCCTGTCCATTGTCTTTTTGCATCTAAAATAACATACCTTTTAAATGTCAGGTAATCTCCTTTTCCAGGCCCCTCAGGGCACAACCATAGCTGAGTAGTGACCACTGAACCTGAACCCCTCATTGTTGCCCACATACCATCTATAAGTGCTATAAATGTTAATTAGTAACTATCCTGAACCCCCAATGTAAAAAAACTATGTCTTTCTGTTTTGCTTTTGATCTAATCCTAGGGATTTTCTTGCTTTGCTTTCTCCCATCTCCTTAATCTACCACCAATGAATTTCATGTAACCCTCCTTACATCTCCTCCTCTAATGTATAAAACAAGCTGCAAAGCTGACATTCTCTGGAGCATTTTCTCAATCTATTGAGATTTTGCTTCCCAGAAATTGTCATCAGTTTGGCTCAGGTAAACTCATAAAAATCTCTACAGGTTTGGACATTTCTTATGGCAACTTATCAAGTCTTTGGTTTGGAGATGACTCGAGTCACAATAATTAAAAAAATCAAAGTTTAAAACATTGAATATAAAAAATAACTTGTGACCAAAATTAAAAGCAAAATAAAATCTGGAAAATATTGGAAGGAAAAATGGCAAAGCGCTAATTTTCTTTACTCTTTATAGAAAAAACTCACAAATTTGTGAACTTTAACTCTGCAGACAAGGATCGTTTGCTGTTGTCAGCTTCTAACCCAGTTCAGAGCAGCGCACCCTATGGGACCATGGCACACATGTCCAAACCACACATGAGGTTATGAGGTGGAAAGCATGCACATGAGCCCTCGAAAAAACTTAAAAAGCACCAGAGGAAATGGAATGCCAAAAAGACCCAAAATATAGAATAATTCATACTCAAGGAACTAAATATTTTAAAAATACGAAAAGAATGTTAAAAATTAACTACACTGAGCCCAGCTGGTGTTGCTCAGTGGTTGAGAGTCAATCCATAAACCAAAAGGTCACCAGTTCGATTCCCGGTCAGGGCACATGCCCGGGTTGCAGGTTTGATCCCCAGCAGAGGACGTGCAGGAGGCGGCCTATTGATGTTTCTCTCTCTCTATCCCTCTCCCTTCTTCTCTGTCTAAAAGTCAATAAAAACATATTTTTTAAATGAACTACACTGAAATCCAAGAGAAAAATGAAGGAATAGCATCCACGAAGCAAAAACAGAAGAGGAAAACATGAAAAAGAATCAATTGGAAATGAAGCATATAGTTGATGATATTAAAAAAAACAAAAACAACACAAAGAAAACACAAGATGCCCTAAATAACATACAGTTGAAAAGAAAATTGGGTGATTTGGAACCTACCACTCTCCAAGAATGTACCATTAACAAATTAAGAGATAGGAAATTGCAAACCTAATAAATTCTTTCCTCAGAAAAGTCACATATGCACCTACACAGTTTTAAACAATTTCAGAAGGTTCCCAGAGTAATTGAAACCCAACTTCTACCCTAGAATTCTGATTACAAAATATCTTAAGATCATTCTATTAATATATACAATAAATACTGCTTGAAGGTTCTGGAAACAGACATTAAATTTGTGTTAGGATCAAGTCAAAGAAAAGCCAAACCAATGTAAACTGATTACATATGACCAAGAAATGAAATTCACAAAGAAAGTGTGCCAAATCCTGGTAAGTATTGTTTCAAAACTCAGGTAAGATTGAGAAATCAATAATTATCCATAGCAAATAAAAGAACTCTAGTGTGTATTAAACTTGATTAATTTTAACATAATTATCATTTTAGATGCAGATATTATTCTTAAATATGACTGAAAAAGAATGTTTGTAATGGGCAAAAAATTTTTTTTTAAATAATGTTAAATAATCGGTACTGGGATATAAGATTGGTGGAGTTTGAAAGAAGCTAAATTGCTTTGAATTTGAAGAGTGTGATATAAAGAAACCTAAGGGGGGAAAAAAAATCTAGAGAAATTGCCTATAATTGGGGGAATTTTAGAAACTAAGCTGGAAAAGAGCAATCGAAGAAAAAATTCAGTGGCTAAACATAGGGATTTGGGGTGAGCTGAGCAGAGTTGTCTAGTGGCGATGTAGGTGAAGCGTGCTATAAACTGTATAATGCAGTCCCACGATATCTTCAGTAAAGTCCACATATTGCTTTTTGTTTGTTTATTTTTTTAAATGACAGTGGGAATAGGAGAGGCAATGAAGTACATAATTCTCCTTAAAGGTTGGCCTAAAGTAATTATAGAGAAGTCATGGAAAGCGAGCCAAAATCTGTACTACACAAGAAGGATTTAAATTTGCCTTTTACAATGAATCTAAACAGGAGGTTTGGTCCTCATCAAAACTTCAGTAGAAGACAGCTCTGAAAACATGAAAGAGATTCTGAAACCAAAAATATATTCCTTAAAATAGGTTTGAAATATTTTAGAACATAAAATTCAAACAATATGCTGAGTATCTTCTGTTTTAAGTAGCTAAAATCTCTGGAAGGTAAAATGATGAATTCTCTGAAGATCTCTAGTGAGAATTCGGAAATAAAATCATGCCTCTTGAACATTTTTTAAAGTGTTTTAATAAACGTCAGCATTAAGATCCTTTCAGGGCATATATCTCCATAGGTTTTCTTCAAACTGAAGCATAGAGAAATTATCTTGGTTGAAGACTTTGAAATATTTAGAGTCATGTATGTATCTTCTTTGAGTATTTTCATGGTAGGTTGTCTTGAAGTTCACAGTTTCATAAGACTCGTGCTTGGTTTCAAATAGTAAATTTGAATCACAACAGATCAGGCTCCTCTGAAATACACTCATGTTGTAAACAATGGGGAAAAATCTGTTCTGGTTTTAAAAAAAATCTTCATTTGATGTACACATTTTCCACTTGGAAACACAAGTGTATCTGAGTCTGTCTCATCACACCCATATCCCTGATAAGATACTAGAGCATTTATGTATGGGTATTTGTTTCCCCTCAAAATATGTTTCCTTTAGAGAAGAAATTGAAGGACGAGTTTTCAGTTTTTGCAGGCCACCTACAAAGGCTTTCCCACAGTGAAACTTTATGTACTGGAACATTCTATTCCTAATTAAAAGCAGCAAACATGAAAATGCCTGGTGTAGAATGGTGTAGTCATGTAGGCCTTCACTGGAGAAAATGCTTTCTTCATGTTCATGAAATAAAATTAAACTGAAATGCAATCTGAATCAACATTTTAAGACTTCATTATAATTATCTTTAGGGCACAAAAGTAGAAAAACTGTGTGTACCAAAATCTTGACTGATATATATGAATACTAAATATGTTCTACAAAATTTTCAATGTCATATTCCCAAAACACATATTTAGAAAAATGTGTCATTGAGAAAAACATACAATTGGTCCTAAATATTTGCCAAAATAAGGCTAAAGAAATCAAAAGTAAAAATGTGAAGAAGAAAAAATTAAAATAATAAATAATTTTCCAAAGGCACTCACCAATCACAATTGAAGACTCACAGTGATAGTAACCATCACTTTGCTTTTTCTTCAGCATGGAGCAAAGATCAATGCGGTGGACCAATTCTTCTCCAAATCTGTGATTGATAAATTTTTCATAGAACTTGGGGTCTATTTTTTTCACTCCCTTGAAATGACAAAACAAAATCACAACAATCAATCATTTCATCTAGGCAGTCAGTTCATATTTACATCACTTTCCTAAAATCTGACATTACCTTTTGGTACACAGTACTGCCTATAGGAATTTGAAAATAGATACCACAAAATTGTTATAAAGCTCTTTTTAAAATCTCTTTGTCTAGGATGAGTTGTATTTAAAAATCATTAAAGAGTGTTGTGTTTAAATCTGGCAACATGCATAACTCCATACACTTTAAGCTTCAGAAATAATGAAGTCTATCAAGTTGAAATTTGAGATATCAAGGACAGAGTAATTATCTCCAACAACAAAGGAGAAATGGATGAATTTTGAAAAGTGATATGGACCATACCATTTTGTAGTATACAACAGTTTTAATAAGATGGATGCAATATTTAAACTCTTTTGTAAGAATCATATGAAAGACGATTTGAGGTTTTTTGAGTTGGGGGAGGGCATCAGTTTTAAGCAATTCCAAGTTCTTCTCTACCCACCCCTCCCTCTTCTCAGTGTCTTTCATAGCAGAAGGAGGGCTGGTTGAAAAATTACAGTGGGATGCCTTGATACTGCTGTAGTTTCCCAAAACAGGAAAGAATATATTCCCCTCTCCTTAAAAATGGTCCTGCACCTAGTCTCATGGTCCTAAAACACAGTCTGTAAGATGAAGGTACAATACAGGGCAAGCTTACTGGCTGACCATGTGTGAACTTTTCCTTTTAATTTGTAATATTTTTTTAATACATCTTTATTGATTTCAGAAAGAGGAAGGGAGAGGGAGAGAGAGAAACATCAATGACGAGCGAGTCATTGATCGGCTGCCTCCTGCACGCCCCCTGCTGGGGATCCAGCCCGCAACCTGGGCATGGGCCCTGACCGGGAATCCAACTGGGATCTCCTGGATCATAGGTCAATGCTCAACCTCTGAGCTAGGCAATTTATAATATTTTTAATATTATCTTGGCAATACCTGTCATGTGTTAAAAGTTAGAAAACATGAAGAAACTAGAAAGAGAGAAAAATCACAACTCTATTTATATAAAATACATTATCAACACTGGAGTGTATATCCTTCAAATCTTTTCTATGCATATATATTGTTTTCAGATTACACTTATACAAATCATTTTCTCAAGTAAGAAATAAGGGAAACATAAGACAGACTCTAGTCTATTAGGCAAATTAATTTAATTTTAGCAAAAGTAGATACCAACTATTTTGCAAGAATTGTTCACAGATGACTCCCAACATGAACCTTAAGGTGTTAATTTTTACTAGAGAGTAAAATGGAATTAACTCTTTAACTCAATTTAGAGAGAGCACTGTGGTTCAAAGAGGCATGAGTCCTAGCAGGCAATGAAATTACAAGCAATTATTAGAAAACATCTTTAACAACAAAGTATATAAAAACAGACAATCTGCTTTATCTGATATATAATATTAGCATGCTCTTTGTTCTCCAGGGAATTTTTGTTTGGCAATATATTTCTTGTTTTTAGGCTCTTTATCCCATGTCAATACATTTCTTTTCTAATGAAATATATCTGAATTAGTCTCCCCATCCAGCTGTAGCAGGTAGTATTTCTCTTTCATAATAAAAGAAAGGAGTAGCAATCTAAGAAAATAAATGAGTACATCAAAATTGGATATCATTTAGAATAAGGGTAAAGAAGTCTCCTATTTTCTGACTAGATCACTGGGTTGCCAAAATAGTCCCAAAGACGTCACCCTGCAAAGTTATATTTTAAAGCTCAAAGGGTGGGGTGATAGCATTATTTTCATGTTTTGAACCCCCAAATTATTCTGCTCCCCTTCTTCATAGACCAGATCCTTTCCAAGGTACCTTGTTATTCAAAGATTGTTTGAGGTACATGTTAGGAGAGCTCAAAGAAAACCACAAAAATGGGTAAAGGCAGGAAAATTTGACCTATGCAAAGGCTAAGAGAGTTGGGGCTATTTCAAATTTAGAGAAACAATAGGTAGGGTATCTTCAGTGAAACCATGCTAAGGGTGCTTCAGCCCTGGAATTCTGAACATGCTTGAGTGTCTAGTACTCTGTTTGAAAATTATTTTGCCTTGGACCTAACATGGAAAAGGTATATTTTACACATTTATAGTTGTACCCAATGTAACTGACATATCAATTATACAACATAACATTGAAAGAGAAAATAGGAAGTTAAATACAGGATATCAGACTTTGAAACAATAAATTAGTGGCAAGAAACATCAAACAGAAAAGCTTTTCAAGACTGTCCTAATTAATCAGTAGGAATAACTGAAGGTTTACCTCCCCTTAGCCTAGTTTCAGTCAGAGTTTAGTGAAATTATCAGTGATATTCAAAGCATTTGATAACCTTTGATACAATGTACCATGAACCCCAAGGAACTTCACTCTTGATGATAACCTGGCACCCAAACAGCCAATACAGGAAAAATGCCATGGAGAACATGATGAGTATTTTTAGAATCATCTAATGGCTGCATCTGACAAGTAATGGAAATTATTTACTCAGGAAACACCATATCATTTACATTTAGCTAAGTGATGTGTATAATTAAATATGTACAAAAGAGGGCTCAGACTTATATTACTCTGCAGCCAATTCTATTTTCAACAAAGGATGTAAAGCGCCATGAAATATAAAAATTCACATGAGTGGACAATCTGGATGTGAAAATCATTCATTTAAGGTTCTGAAAGATAAACTACTTATTATTCATCTTTAATTTCTATGAAAAAGTTAATGTGATCAAAGGAAAGATGCAATGTCAGTTTTATTAAGAAGATGAAGGCTTTTTATATAATGGAAAATAATTTCTTAGTGACCTATAATAACCACAGCTTCCATGATGAAAATACAAACATATCAGACAAAGAAATTATGAGTCCCACGGATGGTAAGCTTGACATTCCTAGAGCTCTAGTGTGTTTTCCAACAGTTTATTCCTGTCATGAAGGTGCCGTGAAAGAAATGTGTACCTTTCCTGTGATAATGACCTGAAACCAAAATTCAGGAGGTAAATTAAGAGCCAAGCCAAACTGGCTTCTCATTTGGGGGCCTCGGCTAGTGAAAGAGGAATGGTAATTTTTTACACTTTTAACAACTTGGTGCAAGGGCCCCGCAGCCAGCTGCAGGGGGAGAAACCTACAGAGCCGCAGCGCCCGGAGGGAACCGCCTCCCCGCTGGGCCCTGGAGAGGCCAGCGCAGGGGCGCTCGGGGCTCAGCGCAGCGCCTGCCGATCGGCGGGAGATTTTCCATCCTTTTAGCCACCGACGCCAATGCCCTGGGGCAGCTGCACAGCCACCCTGGATGACCTTGAACTCCAGAAGCAGCTCCCCGGCACACGCGCCTTAGGAGGGCTACCGGGACCCAGGCGGCCCTTCCCAGCGCGCCTGCCCCGTCCGTCCCCGGGTCTCCTGAAGGAGCCGCACACACTGCCCCGGGCAGTGCGACCCCGCGCTTCCCCTCGCTCTCCCGCGGGGTGGGCGCATCCCC